CAAACTGATCTAACAGCTTAATCTTATAATAAACAGTGGTATTCATTGACTGAATTGTCTTTGGAGGGCCTTTTCCACCTCCTTCATCAGCACCTTCCCTTCTCATACCCGTCAGCCAGCATTGGCTTTCCTCTGGGAAATCCCGAGGTTCCACCTGCTCTCCTGGTGGCCAAAGGCCCAGTTTTCACAGAGGCAGTCCTACATTGGATTAGCACAGGACAAGGAAACGGAGCTCCCTCAATGACCGTGTCTTGGTCTGGTTTCAATTCAAGCAATGATGCTGACATTAGGCAGACAAGACCCCCAGCTTCCCCTTTTTGCCAGGCCCACAGCAGCATTTTGTCAGCTGTGCTTTCCATAAGCAAATCCTAAGTTACTGAAGGGCCCTCTTGTTAAATAAATATGCATACAGTGCAATGCATCGCCTCTTCCAGGTAGGCAGTTTGAATTACTAGAAATGCCCAGGCGAGCCTTAACCCAACCGTACTGGTCTTGCTTGCCAGAGGGAACTGTTGGGCTTTTTTAATCCTCTAACAATGACAAAACCTTAAGGCAAGAAATTTCTTAATTTCTCACAGTAAAATTAAAGGGGACTTGGCACCACGAGGTCCCTTGTTAGACTTCGGATACATGTGAAAAAATAGCTCAACTTAGCTGGTTTCTCCCCTTCTGCTCCCAGCTCAGGGAACAGCTCACTTCTGCCTGTCATCTCAAATATTAACAACAACCTTATCCAACAGGGTGAAATAAAGTACTGCCATTTTGGTTTGGTTTGGGTCTTTTTTTCCTGAATGAGCACCTGCAGCCAGGCAGGCTTTGGTGTCTGTTACTAGCCTGAGGTATATTTTTTTGCATGACTTTGAGGGCTGGAGTCCAGCAGAGTTTGGGTGTTTACTTTCACAGGGCAAAATCTCAGGCTGGGTATGCGGGACTGCGCACCAGCTGGCAGAGGCTCTTAAGTGCACACCCAAAAACCCATCTAAAGCAGGAGAAATGCAGCTTGTAGTTCATCTTTTAAAACACAGCAGGGACACGTACACTGACATCCAGCAGAAAAAAAGAGCATTGCACACCTTGCACACACCAGACTGTTGGCTTCTGTATCCTCCCAGTACGTTCATACAGTTTCGAGTCTGACAGTGCTTTTTCTCCTCTGTACTAGTGCTCTCTGAAATTCAGTGTTTTAATTCTCAGAAAAAAGCATGGATTCCTGCCTGGGCTCTGTTTTTTTTACTCTGATCTAGCTTGAAGTTTTCAAACTGATTGCTAGGTCCTGCTTGAAGCAGTTGATAAAAGCATTCCAAATTCATCAGGTGATACAGTATCTCCATAAAGACATGAACAGTTTGAAATTATTTGAAATCTGGCCTAAGATATCTGAGATACTTGTAACTTCAACCTGGATTTTGACTCAGGAGTGATGTGGAGGATTGCCACTTTTGCACACTGTTGACCTCCTCTCAGATTTTCTGTTTGACTTTGTCACCAAGTGGCTCCCAAAGCTGAATTTAATCACGAGATCCACTAATCTCTTGTTTAAAGGTATGCTAAAGCCATTTAAGCTGGCATTAAGAAAGCTGCAGAGGAAAGCTAGAAAATCAGCTAAGTGGGTCAACAACTTTAAAGCATTAAAACTAATTTGATAGTAAATTTAGACTAATTGAGGTTACTGTTTTGAAAGCTGCACATGATAAAACTGGTGCTTACTGTCAGCACAGGACCGGGCAGGTGTACAGCTGGGACCCAGTCGTGTAATTCATGGCTTTAGAAACTGAAAAGCAACTATTCAGGTGGCAGATTTATTAGTGCAAGGCAAACCTAGCCCCCTCTTGTATTTACACACACTTGGCTTTGCAATTTAACAGCACAGTTTTAATGACTCCTCTGTCTCCCTCAATAAAAACTAAAGCACAAACTCCAAGACTCATACCAGGCCTTTCTCTCTAGAAGTGGCATTTTTCAATCATTTGATCACTTTGGGCATTTTTGGAATGGTTTTAATTTGTTCCTCAAGTTCTGTTCTTTTGCAAAACACACTGGGAAAATGGGATAAAGGAGGATAAGGGGTAAAGACAACAACTTTCTTTGTATGTTTGGCAAAAGCCAAACACAACCATTCATTCCCTTTCAGAAACCTATGCGGAATTGTTTAGGAAGCGCTATTCCTGACATTTCACAGTGAATACAAATAAAAAATAAAACAGCCAAACATTTACAAAAACATGCTTACAATAAAGCTGTAGAGGCCTTTCAAATGTCAAGTATTTTTGCTAAACTCCTTCTAGGGTTAGGTTTTTTGTTCACAGATGGAAAAAAAATCATAAGCTTAAATGTGCATCAGCACTGCAAATACTTGATGGCTCCTTACAGTGTATTCATTAGAAATTTGTTTAGCTTTGCTTTAGACATTTCAAACAACAGCTTCCACTGCTTCATTGACACATGAAGATATTGTACAGTCCACTACAACAGCCAGAAAGATTTTCTGACCTTCAGCAATAGTTCCTTTTTCTTTACTTTGTGTTACTACTCCTGATTATACATGTTTTTGTATACAAAGCTCTCCCACAGTCAGACACCTTCAAAGTACTCTCCATTAGAGACGGTATGATTCACGCATCTCCAGCCTGTCTACTGCCTTCCTCATGACTGTACCTTAAAAACCTTCTATTCTTGTGCTCTTAAATGCCTTCCAGCTGTGGATAACTTCCAGCTAACACAGGGTTAGAGTTAGCTGAGATACTGGAGCCGTGTGTGAGCAGTGTCCTGTGCCCAGGGCACTGGAACTTCTGTTGCTGTTTATGAAGAAAGCTCTGCGGACATTCCTAGAGAAGGGAAGAGGACACTAAGTTTTCTATGTTAAAGGTTATAACCTCTCCAAATGCAGACTGAATCAGTAGTATACACTTAACTCTGAAAGAGTTGGAAAGTAAAAATCAAATGGGTTTTTTTAGACACTAAGTCATGTTTAAATTTGAACCTCAGATAGCACATTCTCTTTTAAAAAGGTTTCTCACTCTCAAATGACTACACAAAATCAGAAGCAGGGACAAATGGAGCGGGGGAAGCTACAGTCTCATCCTCTCATCTTATATTAACTTTGTAGACAAATAATGCAAACTTGTCCGGCATAAATAAATACTAAAAGTATAAAAATATATAGTAGCATTATATAAGCACAGTAAAACACAGCAAGTATAAATCTGGGCACAACAGAGTGGCAAAACTTTGCCACCTAACTGAGACATGCTTGAAAAATTTAGAATTTTCAAAATTTCTCTCTTTAGAGAAAATTACATCTGTAATATGTGAGCTGCATTTGCCACAAGCATATTTTCTGTTAATTAATAGATCTAGAATACTGATCACATCCTAATGTAACTCATTTTGCCTACAGCTTCCCTTTTTATATACAGTGCAAAGGAACACACTTAACTTGTCTTAAAAAATAATAATTGTAGAGGAGTCTTTGTTCTGAAGCACTTGCAGGTATCTCTTCGGTAACTCTCCATCTCTCCTCCTGCTTCTCTGCTGGGCCATCAGCTGTGAAAAAGCTCCATTTAATAATAATCTCTTCTGACCTTGCTGTGTGCTGTAGGGGAACAGGTAACTTTCATGACAAATTAAGCAGCTTCCAGTGTGTTCATTTGCTGTGATTTTTAAATTATTTTTTTTTGCCTTTGCTACTCCGAGGACGGAAAGTAGATGTTGTGACTTTTGAGGAGAAAGAGGCTAAGGCAATGTGCTCTTTTCTGCATGTTACGTACAAGCTTTCCCAGTTTCTGAACAGAGCCTCTCCCTCCAAAGTGAAAGCTGGTGATTGGTCTGTCCTCCAGTATATGTTTTCAAAGGCAAGATGACTACATAGAAGGTTGTTTCTATTGCAAGGTTATGTAGTAGCACTTATTTTAAAACAAAAAAAAACACGTTTGCTTTCTTTCCTAGCACAAAAGATCTGTGCTTCATGCTTTATTACTAACACTCTGAATCCGCTGCATACAAAAGAACGGTAAATCACACGCAAGGTCTACTTCAAGGCCAAAATAAGAAAGGGTTTTGCTTTGGGTGAGGAGATGGATAGTTGTTTCAGTGTCCTTTAGCCAGCACATTTAAATCTCAGCTGGGATCATAGATCTCTCTTAATAAAAGTGCTATGTGTGCAGAGTTTAAAAGCTTACTCTTGGTTTAAAGCAGCCTTAGCTCTTCAACCTTTCCAGCATCTTCCTTGTTGTACAATCAAACTTGAGTATTTTCTTTTGCTGCGCGTTACACCAGGAAACAAATAGGGCCTTTCTGTCACATGATTTCTAACTAGAACTGTATGAAATAAATCACATGGAAACCTAACAGTAATTTCAAGTTGTCTTTTGGTTTCTGTACAACAACAACAAAAAAGAGAGAATTTGATGATTTTCTCAAAACAGTGTATACTGGTTTCGAAGTCAAATTTTCCTTCTAAAATAACTTGAATTGATTGTCTATGCAACTAGGGCAACAGTTAAGAAGAAAAGTCACAGAGATTGGCAATTCTCATGGTCTTGGACGAAACAGAGGCTGAGCAGGACAGTCTTGAACAAAATTGCTGCTCAAGACAGCTATTATTTTTTGTTACAGTATCTGATTTCAGATATGCAGTCTGAAAAAAAAAACACTGTATAAAAATGGCCTGAGTTTGGAGCCACAGGAAAAATAAACAAAATGTGAAAGTTCTTAATATGTCTGAAAAAACTAAATAAAAATCAAGGCTTCTTTCTGGTGATACACAAGGAGGAACTGTAGGTTTAACTGTCATTGTGCACATCTGAATACCGTGGCTAACAAATGCAGAACCAAAAGGTGTGACTAATGCAGTGACTGCAAAGTACAATGAATAATGGCTTAATGTAATACATCCTTTGTATTGTACAAGCGTGTCTTGCAAAAAGAAGAATATGGTGCACTTTTGTAAAAAGGAGTTACTCATGTCCAAAGCAACACGGTGTCTTCCCTTCCAGGGACCCAACATGCCACAGTACAAGCTGACATACTTCAACCTGCGAGGACGAGCAGAAATCAGCCGCTACCTGTTTGCGTATTCGGGCAAAAAGTATGAAGACCACAGGATAGAAGGAGCTGACTGGCCCAAAATCAAACCAAGTAAGTAGCATGGGATCTTATATCCAAGGCTGTGCTAGAAACGCTGTCAAGAAGCAAAGCTATTGAAAAGGTACTTATATGTTTCATGAGCAGAAATACATTTAACTCCTGGCTTTAATTAAGCCTATAGAAATGTTATCGTCTGGGCAGCCAACATGTCATTCCTGATGCTCTCAGCAAAGTCCAAATCCAAACATTCAGACAATCTAGAACGACTTACCTGCTGTCACTTCTTATCAACTCATTTCAGGTTTTTTTCTGCCTAAAGTGAACCAAACACGTGCTAATCTTCTCACCTTCTTTGGAGAATTTAGTCTCAAAGTCTACACTGCAGTCTTCACCCTGGTTTTAGAACGTCAGATTGGAAATAAGGGTCCAGAAGGACACTCCTTTGCAACCAGGAAGGTCTTCAGACAGGGAAAGTGATGAGAGAAAACAAAGAAGCTGGTTGATATAGCAAAGAGAAAACAAAAGGATCAAAAGAGGTGCTAGGAAATGATTGTTCCTAAGAACAAAACCCACTAGCCCTTCTGAGAGTACTCTGCAGGCTACTATACCCCATCCATTTCAAGTTTTTAGTTAAAGTAACCTCTTTTCAGCTAGTAAAGCTATTTTGTTATTTCTGTTCATTAGCTGTAGTTCAAATGAAATAGATCTTGAGTTTGGAGACTGCAGATATGAAATCAGTGATATTGATGTCTTCACTTTATGGTTTTGGCCTAAGTTACACCACTCAGGCTATGACTTTCAGACATCCAGAATGAAGAATAATGCCTTTAGTTTGGGGGAAAGGCACAGCTAATGCACAAGGTGATTTCTATTAATCAGTCTTTGTTTTCTGATAGGCTTTCACACCATTTAATAAGCCCAGTTAGTGGGCTACCAAATTCATGTAGGGTGCAATTAAATTTGGTCTTTCTCATAATATTTGCAGTGACTTGAATGACAAATACTCAAGCGCTGCTGCGCTCCAAGTAGCAGCTGAAACCATCTGTGGTGCTCAGGTCCACAAAACCACGGGATAACAACCCACAGAGAGGGGTGCAAATGAAGCAGTAAAAACATGATATTTTCAGTTAGGTAAGGCTGACTGTAGAAACCTTTTCTTTGTAAGAGCTTAAGCCTGTGGACCACGCGGTATAGCTTATTTCCTCCCCACTGCAGGTCTTGGGGAAGCAGGGTAGCAACTAAAGGTGAGACTGACAGTTCAGAGGAATTGAAAAAAAGCTCTGCACAGGCATTTTTCACAACTACACACATATTCACATGTACACACACTACTTATGTCCTAAAACAATGTTCAGAGAACACTAGCAAAGTACAATTCTACACAGAGTATGCAAAGTTCACTACAGTGCCTGCCCAGCTGCAATGCCATTATCACCAAAAACCTGGCAGCAGAGGCACCCTAGAAATCCCCAGCCATACAGTTTGCAGCTGTATCTGTCGCATTAATGAGTGTTGGTCAAGTCATTTAACCTTTGTTTCTGTTTCTGTGATGCAAAGTTTGTTAGTAGGTTTACCAAGGGTTAAGATTTTTCCTTTTCTCTGCATAATGGCCTTTCATAGAAGTCTCTGCTATGAGTGATCTCTAGATGAAATTCCAAAGCAGATAAGAAGTTTAGTAAAATGTGGGAGCTGTTGCTCTCAGATTTGTGAAATCATCTGTACAAAATTTATGCTGGTCTAAGAGTTCTTTGAATTTTAGGCTTCTGTAGACACTCAGTCAGCCACTGGATGGGAACTGGAATGTATTGTGCTAATTGATCAGGAAAAAGTATATCCACAAAAAAACCCCAGACAGTTGGATGCATGTCAAAGTGTTATTACATCTCATATCAGGATGTTAACTTATGCTTCTGAAAGATTCCCTGAATCCTAATTCATGCACCAGTATAGTGGTGGCTTTTGCTACCAGTGGCATCAGCATTGCAGCCAATACACAAGTTAAGGGGTTCCTCAACTGAGGAACAAGTACAGGAGTAAAGGTATCTTACAAGAGTAAAGGTACCTTGTTTGCATGCATAACAACATAATGCTGCTAAGGAAACTGCCTGGAGATCACCTAACTGATGACTACCTCCTCCTCCTCCTTTGTGAAATAACCAGTTACTCATGGTATTTCCAGACAAAATAAACTCCCGCAGGCAAATCATTCAGCAAAACTCTGAATAAAAGGTAGCAAAAGGGCTTTGCAGTAAGCAGTCTTGCACCACAAGACCAACAGCCACTTCCCCAATCTGCCCTAAGGTGCCTAAACACTGATTTTGCAGGCAGTGACTCAATACAAGAAGTGGTTGCCTCCTGGCTAGGGACTAGGTCCTACAGGATTTGTGTCTTAACACTACAACAGTACTGCGTACAGCAGAGGTGCACTACTCCCCGTAAGGAAAACGAACATGTGCATTCTCTACTATCCCAAATTTTCAAAGTGTGCCTCAGCTGTCTCCTCAGCGGTGGGGTTTGAAGAGGGAAAAGCACCAGTCCTCAGCAAAGCAAGTAACAAGATCCTTGCCAAAAAAGTTCAATTACTGCTGTGTTCAACTGTAAATATGAAATAAGGGGATCCATCCAACACATTGTGCATACAAAGGCACAGTTCACTCTGCTGAGAGATCTTCTACACTACTATCATCCGTATTCTGCATATACATCTTTCTTATAAAGCTCTGTCAAAGTTTAAGGCTAGGCCAGCCACTGAACTTTGACAGACAGTCTCTGTGATCCTCCAACACCCTCCCAGGGGAATAACAGAAGAACCAGGGAGAGAGACTTTGAGACTGAAAAAGAAGTTGAACCAATTTAACGAAAAAAAAAATCAGAAAATAATGCTAACAATAACGATGACAAACTATATACAGACATATACATGTATGAAAATATGCTCAAAAATACAAAAGAATATGCTAATATTCTTCAGAGTCCCAATAACAGTCCAATGAAAAAAAAACAAAAAGGAGCTGTGCTGCTCCCACCAAGAGACGCAGGGGAAGACACCTGTTCTGTCAAACACTGCTCCTCTGCAGTGTGGAAACAGGAGGTGGGAGACACGATTGCCAATGACAATCCCTCCAGCACAGCTGCACCAGAGGCCCCAGGATTCTTCTTAGGGGGCTCTTTTAAACTGAGAACCATGGGAAGGAACACTGTGATTGGTCCATTTGGGTCACCTGACCCATCCTCTCCTCCTCATAGGTACAGCTGCCCCCTCTCTCACTGTGATTGCCACCAGTGCCAGAAGACCCAGAGAACTTTTATCCTGGGGCTCTCAAACCATGATAAACTCAGGATTATTGTATTTTTTCCTATTTTTCCTGGACTGAGACTACTGCAAAAAAGCACACAGAAATAAAGGAACAGATTCCAGTCAGTCTCAACCTGGTGAAAACCAACGGGTGGTGTTTAGCAAAGACAAAGGAAATTACAGCTGCATTTGATGTAACAGCAGCTAATGTAACAGTAGGTGAAGTACAATGCTTATTTGCAACCCTCAGAAACATTGGTTCAATTAATTGAACTAATTGCATAACTATACATTGAAGTGATATTAAGAAATACCACACAAACTGCTAGGCATACTTGCATACGGTACGTTAGCACTTACCCACTTCCCTATGAAAATCTGAAAGCTTTGACTGTAGTCTGCAAATACAACATAACGTCCCTGTTTTTAAAACGTTCAAGTACAATTAAGTAAGATAAAACCCCACACACACTTTATTCTCTTAAGTTTGGACAAGGACAGCCTCTTCATGAATCTTAAGCTACTAAGGGACTAAGAGTCTGAGTTTCTCTAAGAGCACAAGGAGTCAGGTCTCTGCATAGAGTACAGAATACAATCATTTAGGTACAAAAGAGCTTCAAGATCATCAAGTCCAACCATAAACCTAACACTGTCAAGTCCCTCACTAAACCATATCCCTAAGCAGTACGTCTACGTGTCTTTTAAATACTTCCAGAGATGGCAACTCCACCATTTCCCTGGCCAGCCTGTTCCAATGCTTTACAATGCTTTTGGTGAAGAATTTCTTCCCAATATGCAATCTAAACCTCCCCTGGTGCAACTTGAAGCCATGTCCTCTTGTCCTATCACTAGTTACTTGGGAGAAGAGACCTCGCTACAATATCCTTTCAGGTAGCTGCAGAAAGCGATAAGGTCTCCCCTCAGCCTCCTCATCTCATTATAAGACATGTTCTCCAGACCCCTCATCAGTTTTGTTGCCCTTCTCTGGATCCACTGCAGCACCTCAGTGTCTTTTTTTATAGTGTGGTGCCCAAAACTGAACACAGTACTCAATCAGTGTCCTCACCAGTGCTGAGTGCAGGGGCACGATCACTTCCCTACTCATACTGCCCACACTACTTCTGATGCAGGCCAGGAGGCTGTTTGCCTTCTTGGCCACCTGGGCACACTGCTGGCTCATGTTCAGCCAACTGTCAACCAACATACCCAGGTCCTTTTC